AGGAAGGAAAGAAGGGAGGGAGGGAGGGAGGAAGGAAGGAAGGAAGGAAGGAAGGAAGGAAGGAAGGGAGGAAGGGAGGAAGGGAGGGAGGGAGGGAGGGAGGAAGGAAGGAAGGGAGGAAAGGGGAGTGAGTCAGAAGGGGATGGGAGGAAGGAAGGAAGGAGGAAGAAATAGTATAGACCAGTGGCTCTCAGTCAGAGACAATTTTAATCCCCGAGGACTTTTGGCAATGTCCGGAGGCATTTTTGGTTATCCTAGGGTAGGGAAGGGGGTTGGGGGTAGGGCAGAGATGTTACTGGCATCTAATGGGTAGAAACCAGGATAGGGCAAAACATCCTACGATACACAGGATAGCTCCTCATAATGAATTATCCAGCTCCAAATGTCATGGTTTCTGGGTTGAGAAAGCATATTATCCCATTTCACTGATAAAAGAAACCGATGCTGAGATAGTAACTAGCCCAGGGTCTCACCGAAGCTGATGATCTGACTCTGATTCTAGATCCCTTGCTCATCATGGGAGCACCTACAGATTCTCTAAGGGCACTAGCCGGGCCGACTTCCGCACACGATCCTGAACAGACAGGCCAAAGCAGGCGTCCACCTTCCTCCTGACTCCCATGCCCCTGGGACCTGTCACCGCGATCGGCCCCCACGCAGACCCAGGGGTGTCGGCAGCCTCTCCTGGCGTTTTGACAGGCGCTGCTCGGGAAGGGCCTGTGTCTCAGCAGCCAGGGCCCCACCCCACAGCTCGGCCGCAACCCCTTGCCCTTAGATCACAAAATACTGCCCATCTCCTGGCTCTCTCCTATTCTCCACTTTATAAACCAGCACAGGTAGGCTCGGAGAAGGGACTTGCTCAAGGCCACCCAACTGTCCGGCAGCGGGTCGGGATTAGAACCCGGCTTTTGCCTCGCTCTCTCCGAACCCCGGTGCAAGGACCACACTTGCCGATCCCAAGAGGAGCTCTCCTCATTCTCCGGGTCCAGAACAGTTAATCCTCAGCCCCCCGCCCCCTCGAAGGGGCCACTCACCCCAGCCAGCAGCAACAGCAGCAGGAGGGTCAGCGGGGTCAGCCTGGAGGCCATCTGGGCGGCGGCGTCAGCCCGGACCTGCGGAGCCACACAGCAAAGTTGTCAGCGCCGAGCCCTGGGGCCCTGGGGGCCTCGCCTCCACTCCCCCCTCCAGCCACCACCCTGGGCCCGCCCCCATTCCATTCCAGGGACTTAGCCCTGTTGCGCGAACTCCCTCCTCCTTCTCCTCCTCCCCCGGGCCACCTTCTCCCAAGCTCCTCCCCCTGTTTTGTTTTCCCCGAACCGCTTCCCTTTCCCGGCACCCGCTGGCCCTTCCTTCCCCCTCCCAAGCCCGGGTCTCCACACATCTGTTCCATCCAGAGAGTCCTGCTTCAGCCTAACAATGACGCCAAGAGGCAGGGGGAGCAGGGGAGGTCCAGAGGGGGCTGGGCACCACAGCTCAGGCCGAAGCGAGGGGAACCCAGGGAAGAGGGGCGCGGGGCGGGGTGGGTAGGACAGAGGTCTTCAGTGGAAGCAAGCCCAAAGCAAGTTCAGAGATAAAAAGGGGGCAGGAAACCGGGGGAGGGAAAGAAGGAGATGGGGACGCCCCACTCCCCAAACCCCCACCCCATCACCAAACCTGCTCCAAACTCCTGGTCGCTGGACAGCTTCAGTGCAGACTGGGTGGCTAGCCCCACAGGGTCAGGGAGGTGGGGTGTGTGGTGGGGTCAGTCTTGGCTATTGGCTGGCCCAGGACACTGCCCAGTTACAAATTAAGGATGATTGATCGCTGATGTGAGTTCCCGTAAACGAGGATGGGACGGACCACTCCGGCTCGGGCCTTGTGGGCTGGGCCAGAATTCAGCCCCAACACCCTTGGGAGCCAGGGGTGAGGAAGCTTGGGTGTAGCTTCTCAACTCTAGGCAACCGAAGTTCTTTGGTCTTCATGGGTCCTGATAAAAACTGCAGAGACCCAAAACGTGCTCCCTAGTTGACAAGCTTTTCAGGAATTGCTCAGCTCAGCTAATCCTCAAAGTGACCCTTTGGAAACAGGTCCCATTGTACCCATTTGGTAGTTAAAAAATCTGCACCTTCGAGCAGTTAAATGTGGGGTGGGTGATTACCGTCCCGTGGAAGACAGCCTGGACTCTGACCTAAATCCCCTGGAGCCCTAACCTCTGCCCACTCTCCCCCTGTGCTGTGTGAGTGTTCTGTTTCTCCTGTTGGAGACCTGCAACCTAGTGGTTCTTCCCTTGTAAAGCAGACAAGGAGTCTGAGGCTCCCAGCCCAGCAAGCATTCCCCTTATGTAAAAGGCTGTTAGGTGGGGCCAATCCGTTTGGGGCAGATGAGGGTGGCATGCAGTAGCTGGGAATCAGCAGACCTAGCTTTGAGGCCTGGCTAGATGTGTGACCCTAAGTTACTTCCCTCTTAGCACCTAACTCTCTTCTCAGGGTTGCCAGATAAAATACAGGAAGCCCAGGTAAATTTGAATTTCAGATAAACAACAACAAAATTATTTGGAAGGATGTCCCATGCAATACTGGGACATACCTTAAAATTTTTTTCTCATTTACCTGAAATTCCAAATTAACTGGGCATTCTGTATCTTATCTACTAAATCTGGCAACCCTACCTCCTTTGCAAAGCAAGGAGGTCTCTGATGACCTAATATATGATCATCTTACTGCTGGGCCTGTCCTGTTTGGAACAGTCAGGAAAGTTGGCTGCTAGCCTCAGACCTGCTATTCGATGGGACTGACCAAGGACAGAAGGAGAGAAACGGTGTGTGTCTCCTTGGGGATCGTCGGAAAAGATCCATAAAGACTGCACCAGCTTTGTGAGTGCTCCATTCCCTACGCCAGCTTAGGAACCTTCTGAGCCATGGGGAAGTTCCTTCAATGCAGGGACATACACAATGCCACTTCCCCATCCCCAGGCCTAAGCTGGGCGCCTGGAAGGCTCACTGAGCTTGTGGATTCTGGGAAATGGGTCAGCCAAACCAAAAGAAGGCGGTGGAAAGCAACCTCCTTCATCCTTATTCCCATGACAACTCTGAAGTGGGTGCTAATATTAAAATCTCTTAAATTTAAAAAGGAGAGAGACTCATAGACATTAACTGGTCCACCCAACATCATCTAGCAAGTAAATGACGAGCCAGGATGTGGATCAAGTGGGCCTGAGCTACCAATCTTGTATGAACCCCCATAAACGACTAACCTGAAGCAGGCACCAGAGTGAAGATCCTGCTGTTCTGTTTGTTAACTATCCAAGGGAAACTTCTGGGAGGAGTCAGAGCTCCAAATCCGACATGGGGTTTGTACTGTCTCTCCCACGGGGTCATTTTGAAGATGAAGTAAGAGAGGTTTGAAAAGCATCTAAAAGGTATTTGAAAATGACAGCAGTTGTGGTTAGATTCTTACTAACAGCTTTTGAAGGGTGATGACGGATTTCTTGTAATGTTCCAGAAAAAGCATGGTTTTTCTTTCCCATTAGAATGGTCATAAACTGATTGTTCATGGATGGAATTTTACGTAAAGGGAGGGCTTGTTTCTTGAACAGAGCAGGCCTGGAGGCCCCAGACTTTTGTTTTCATCTTCCAATGAAATGCATAAGGATCTGCCATGGCTGCCTCTAGTCTTTGTGTTTGTAAGGTTAAAAAAAAAAAAAACGATAGTGACATATAATTCATAATGAAAATTACATAAAACAAATATACAATTTAACAAAAGATTATAAAGTTTGTATCCATTGCCCACCACCCAGTTCAAGAAATAGAATGTGGGGCGCCTGGGTGGCTCAGTTGGTTAAGCGACTGCCTTCGGCTCAGGTCATGATCCTGGAGTCCCGGGATCGAGTCCCATATAGGGCTCCCTGCTCAGCAGGGAGTCTGCTTCTCCCTCTGACCCTCTTCCTTCTCATGCTCTCTCTCTACCATTCTCTCTCTCAAATAAATAAATAAAATCTTTAAAAAAAAAAAAAGAAAGAAATAGAATGTGGCTGGTGGGCTAGAAGCATCCTGTTCCCCTCTTAATCATAACTCTATTCCCTACACAAAGCTATGACCCAGATGAGAAGGTAACCAGTTTCTTCTCTTTATTTTATTATTTTTTTTAAGTAGGCTTCATGAGCAGCATGGAGCCCAACATGGGGCTTGAACTCATGACCCTGAGATCAAGAGTTGGACACTTAACCGACTGAGCCACCCAGGTGACCCTGAAGTGTTTTTTTTTTAAGATTTATTTATTTATTTGAGAGAGAGAGAGAGAGCATGCATGCACGAGCAGGGGAAGGGTCAGAGAGAGAGAATATCCAAGCAGACTCCCCCTAAGCATGGACCCTGACACAGGGCTTGATCTCATGACCCATGAGATCAGGACCTGAGCCAAAACCAAGAGTCAGATGCTTGACCAACTGAGCCACCCAAGTGCCCCAGAGATTTTTTTTAAGTAGGCTCCACACCCAACACAGGGCCTGAACTCAGGATCCCGAGATCAAGAGAGTCTGTGCTCCACCTGAGCTGGCCACCCACCCCAAAGATTTCATTTCATTTCATTTCATTTCATTTTTAAAAGATCTTACTTGTAAGTAATCTCTACACCCAACGTGGGGCTTGAACTCATGACACTAAGATCAAGAGTTGAATGCTACACCAACTAAGCCAGCCAGGTGCCCCTCATTTTTATTTTCTTGATTACTGATGAGATTGAGGGCTTTTTCAGGCTCATTGTCCACATTTGGACTTTTTCTTTGGTGAAATACCTTGGGGCATAAACTGATAAGCTGTCCACCAAAGTTTTTTTTTTTTTTTTTTAAGATTTTATTTATTTATTTGAGGGAGAGAGTGCAGAATGAGAGCGACAGCAGGAACAGGGGGTGAGGGTCAGAGGGAGAAGCAGACTCCCCGCGGAGCAGGGAGCCCAATACGGGACTCCATCCCAGGATCCTGGGATCATGACCCGAGCCGAAGGCAGACGCTTAACGACTGAGCCACCCAGGCGCCCCCACCAAAGTTGCTTCTTTCTTCTCCTGGCCATACAGGTAGACCACATTTCCCTGCTTCCCTTGCAGGCACGTGAATTCATGGAATGCAGGTGGAAGTGACGGGAGCCACTTCTAGGCCTGGCCTTGACAAATCCCCCACCATGAAACTCTTTTCTCCCTCCTCTGCTGGCTGGATGCTCATGTCCAGGATGACTTTGGAGGCAACATATTGATGACAGTTGACTATCAGCCAGGGGATGTGGGTGACTTTGTAGAGCAGAATCTCCTCTGATGAGGAACATTAATTTTGGACTTTACTCGAGCAAGAAATAAAGTTCCACAACTGCGATCCTATAAGGCACTGAGATTTGGGGCTTGACTGTCCTCACTGTTAGTTCATCCTAAGTAATATTTGCCCATTTTTCTATTAGGCCTTCTCTTTTGATTTAGGAGTTCTTTTGGGATGCAAGTCTTTTTTTTTTTTTTAA